TATATATATATATATATATATATATATATATATATATACATCGGCTTGTACGCATCGCATACACCGCAATATATTTCAATTATACTATTCACATTCATATTCAAATATATTCCATACGGCTACACGTAGTAATCTGTTGTACTGTAACTCTCACACCGCGCGGCAATATGAAAAGTTGACGGCAACTAATGAACTAATAAATTGCACGCCTGTAACTATTTTATTCCTTCGATGCGTCAAATTAGTAATGTAAAATAATTAACCAGTAGTTATCGTGCCGTTTCTCTCGCTTATCGGCGCTTCATAAAACGAATAACGTCGTCGATTGTCGGCTTTTATTATTACAGGGAAGAGAGCTTTCTATGTCGCTGTCGCTGCGACACTATTCCTTGTCGCCGCTCTCAACTACATCTCAGCGGGATCGGAGCGCCACCTGGTGCCGAATGAGGTGCACGCCGGCGACGAGGCGGCGGCAGCGGCCGAGCCCGTGTATATATCCGTATCGTCGACGATGGGTGGCCTGGGTAACAGGATGTGGGAGTATGCATCTATGTACGGCCTCGCTCTCACCAACAACATGACGCCTGCCATTGAGCGCGACTCGTTCCTCACCGACCAGTTCGCGCAGCTGACTGCCGTGCGCCTCGAAGCTAGTGAGATCTCAGCCTTCAAGCAGGTCTACTTCGACCACTGCTGCAAGTACTACGGCTCGCTGTGCAACCTCGTGCGAGCGAACACGACTGTCGGCTCGTTCCTGCAGTCGTACAAGTACTTCAACGCGCATGCCGACGTCGTTCGTCGGCAGTTCGTCTTTGACCGACGCACGCGCGCAGCCGCCGCGCGCGCCGTCAAGCGGGCCGCGCGCGCCGACGGTATCGTCGTCGTCGCCGACGCCGGAAGCCGCGTGCGCGTCGGCGTGCACGTGCGGCGCGGAGATTTCGCGCTGTACTCTGACGACGGGTTTCGCGTCGCCGACGACGGCTACATCCGCCGCGCGATGGATCACTTGCGTCGGCGACACCCGCACGCGCTCTTCGTCGTCGTCAGCGAGGACGTGGCCTGGTGTCGCGAGCACGTCGCGCAGCTCGGCGACGTCGTCTTCGTCGGCACCGACGACCCGCTCGTCGACATGTGCGCGCTCAGCGACTGCGATCACGTGATCATGACCGTCGGCACATTCGGCTGGTGGGCGGGCTTCCTGTCTGGCGGTGACGTCATCTATTTCGCGCAGCCGACGTGGCCGGGCTCGATGTATGACAATGAGCTGATTGTTGAGGATTACTACCGGCCAGAGTGGATCGGTATGGAGTAGGCGCCACCTAGTGACAGCAATTATCGATAGCAAGTTCCTGACTAACGTCAGGTAATCGCAGCCTCTGTCGCCAGCATTGGTGTGAGTCTATCGGAGCGGGCTATTCATTTACCGTGATATTCATTGTTTGTGTGTGTGTGTGTGTTCACGCGCGCGCATTTGGGATATTGTGTGGCGGGGGGAATTGCCTAGTTTATGTCACTGAATATTTATGAAAATAATAAACTATTACAATTATTCACAAAAGTTGACGGTGTCGTTCAATATTCCGTGAATTGTATTACATGGTGTCAAGAGTAGATAATAACACATGTGTTATTATTTACTCTTGATGGTGTGGGTGGGTGCGTGCCGATGAACGGATTATATGATTATCAACGGAAGTGCGCGTGTCTAGGCTACACTCCGAAATTATATCAGCATTCTTCCAAGGCCCATTAAGATTGGCTAAAAGTAGTAGACGTACACGTCACCACTTCGGGCAATTATGGATTATGCAGAAACCGAGTGCGTGCATGCTTTCCATCGCTTACTGTAAAAGCGAGCCTGGGCGGAAGTGCAACCGATCATGTATCATGACCGCAAGATTACAGAAGGTAGACGCGTCATATGCGCGACTATATGAGCCTGAAACTCATTCAGCCGCTCGATGCATCAATTCAACGTATATCACATGACCTATATATTATCGCGGAAATACATATTGAATACGTTTACACATGCATTATTCAGGAACACATTTACCTGCGCTGTGTGCTGTTTGTGTCTTGCGTCGCTTTGCGTTGTGTTCCATCGCATTATGAATTGTGTTTTCACGTGTTATGTCGCTTTGTGTTGTGTTAACTTGTGTTACAACGATTCGTGTTTTGTTATCCTGTTTTGCGTCGTTTTGCATTGTGTTATCTTATCATGCGTTGCGTCGCTTTGTATTATTGTAACTTGTGTAATTGTAACTTGTGTTATTGTAACTTGTGTTATTGTAACTTGTGTTGCATCGTTTTGTGCCGCATGTGTATTGCCGTGATAAGTTGTGTTGTGTTTTGACATACACGTAGTCGATATACAATGGCTCATTGTCTGCTTGGTCGCTTCAGTCTCCTGAGGACACAATAACGAAACAGAAGGTCGTAAAACTGGCGTGTAAGGACAGACGAATTGTTAGCGAAATTCATAGCGAGCACGAATACGGTCTCAAAAATACTCTCTGCCATTGTAGATTGAAGGTAAATGTGTCAATGTCACTGAGCGCAGCTTATGAACAGTTTTTCACAGCCACCATACAAACGAACATTTTTCGTATTTTTCCGCGCTACTGTTGCGTAGCCGGTACCCTACATAAACCTTACGTTCTGTGGCTATTGTCACTGCGGTCGTGCATGTGCGCGCAGTAAACCAATGTTGCCTAACCGAGGGGGCAGAACCAGTTTAATTCACCCGCAGTGCAGAAGGCAGATAATTATATATATGCGTGTGTGTACGTGCGCGCGCGCGTGTGTGTGTGGTGCAAAGTTCACAGTAGTGCATTATTGTCACGTGTACACTTGTGCGGTGCAAGTGTACAAATACTGATACGGCGTGATACGGCTTGATAGATGGATCGCGCGATCGGTAAGAACACGTTCTTTATCGCGCTGGCGACTCTCCAGCGGATCCACCATCGCACTACCACTCGCCAGCGACGTACAGACAGCTAAGCTACGTCAACCAAACGACTGCGACCTCGTACAGCGATATACGTGCTTTAACCCATCTGCAGCTCGCGCGGCGGCCATGTAGGCAGAGCGCCTCTATTCACCTGCAGCGCGTGTTACTGGTGCATCACGTCTTTTCTCGCCAGCGCGTCCGATAGGTGCAGAAGGTAGCAGCGGCTGCTGCGCGACTCGTCTGACACGACGTCAGTGACATTTGTGTGCCGACCGCGTACGGAACAGCAGGATGGAGGCGGTGACGGCGATGCTACGAAACTCGTCGCTACGCGACGGCGACGCGTCGAAGCTGCTGCAGCAGCAGCAGGAGCGCATCGCGTCGCTCGAGAGACTCGTCGTTGACAGGGACCTAGAGATTGAGCGTCTGCGCTCGCAGCTCGACAAGTACCAATCGGTGTTCACTCCCGGCGCGCCGGTGAAGAGGCCGCCGCGCAAGACACGCGGCGTCGGCATCTCGGCCGAGCCGACGTCGGCCAGCACCGTGCATGACATGGTGAATACCGAGTACCGAACATTTCCGAAGGAAAAGAGGTAGGGAGGGTCTCTCACTGTCCACCTCTCTCTCTCTCTCTCTCTCTCTCTCTCTCTCTCTCTGCTCTCTTCACTCTCTCTCTCCTATCTCTCTCTCTCTCTCTCTCTCTCTCTCTTCTCTTCCTCTCTCTCTGTCTCTTCTCTCGTCTATCTCTCTCTTCTCTCTTTCTCTCTCTCTCCCCCTCCCTTTCTCTCTCCTCTCTCTTCTCTCTTCTCGCCTCGTCTCTCTCGTCTCCTCTCCCGCTCTCCTCTCTCGCT